GGACTTACGTCTTCAAGACTGCTGCAGCACACCAACTTTCGAGCGGCAACGAACTTGGATGGAGCAGAAAATTGAACATTATATATATGATGCGTGAGGTTTTTGAGTATGTAGATGATCAAATGATGTTGTGTGTCCTCTTGCAGCTCTATTACGTCCTATTTACAGGACTTATAAATTTGCAAATAAAATTGCAGCCAAAAGATATATAGTGATTGGGGCCAAAGTCTAAGCCCTGCACCAAGGTCAATACTACTGGTCCAGACATTCCAAAATCGCTCAAGTTCAGCCCATACTCAAATTGTCAACTTCCAAATGCCAAGTATCAAGGACCAAGGTCCAAAGCCCAGGTCGTAGCCGTGCTCGGGCCGAGCCGATTGACGGGCGGGCAGGATCGAAACGACCTCAATATGTTTTGAGTATTCAAGAACATTAAAATCGTTCCACTTTTGTGAGGTTTTGACCCTCAAGACCTAGTCGTATATATTCTTGGTATCTTCATGAAACATGTTGCTCAATCTCTTCTCATCCATGCTGGTTAAAGAAATAATTAATTATCTATTGTAAGTATAAAGTTGTGCTTAAATTAATGTCTACCGTGTGTTGTTTGGTCGTTTACGAGATGTTTTCACTTTCCTACAATAATGATATGCATTTATTACTATCTTCATGTTGGTGAAAGAAATAAATATTTATATATTCTAAAGTAAAATGTCATGCTTAAATGTCAACCGTGTATTATTTTGTCAACGAGAAGTTTCACTTTCCTGCAATAATGTTACGTCTCTTAGAGGCTTAGGCCTCGTTTACTAAAGATAATGGGATTAGACAAATTAAACCCTTCAATTTGTTACATCAGATTTTGGATAAAATTGTCTCATGTTTACTAAAGTGAATACAATTCTATGATAAATAATAAAATTATTAATATAATTAATTACATTAATATTTTTATAAATTCAATGATATTATTTTAAATTAAGTAAAAATATTTTATATTAAACAATATTTTTATAAATTAAATAAAATTAATTAAATTAATATTTTAAATAATATTATTTTAAAATAAATAAAAGTAGTTTAGATTAAATAAAATTATATAAAATTAAATAAAAGTATTTTAAATTAAATAAAATTATTTAAATTAATATTTTATGAATTAAATAATAAGAATATTTTAAATTAAGTTAAATTATTTTATATTAAACAATATTTTTTTATATCAAAAAAAGAAATTAGTTAAATTATAATTTTATTGATAAATTAATATTATTTTAAATTAAGGAAAAAATTTTTAAATTAAATATAATTTTTTAAATTAATATTTTATAAATTAAATTAAATTATTTTATACTAATATTTTATAAAATAAATTTAGTTATTTTATATTAAACAACATTTTTAAGGTTAAATTAAATTATTTAAATTAATATTTGATAGATTAAATAATATTATTTTAAATTAAATAAAAATAGGATAATTTTATCACACCATATTGGCCGGATTTTTTTATCCGCCCAACAAGGATACATATCCCGCCAACTCATGTCATGTCATATGTATTCTTATCCCTATCCTATTTAGTAAACGAGGGATAAAGTTGGTTAACCAACCTTATCCCATCCTATCAAGGCTAGTAAACGAGGCCTTAGTGATATGTAGGTAGAAAAATAAATATTGGTTATCTGTCTTTGTTTTATGTTTTCATATAACTGTATAAGTTTTATTGGTTAGTTTTTATTTAGCAACTTCAATGTCCTTGATGAGGTTAATTAACTATTATTTTTCTTTGGTCGCTTTGAAACATGAAGATGGAGGTAAATTCAAGAACATGAAGAAAACAAGTGTTTTATCTGCATCCATGTTATTTAACATTTTCGAAAATACTTTTAAGTCGATTAAAGATAAAAGATATCATTAATCGAATATTGACACTTCAACAATATTATTATTATTACTAGTACAATACTCGTGTATTGCACGGGTGCTTGTTAAAAAGATTAAATTTTAAAATTAATGAAAAAAAGTGTATTACAATTTGAAAACTTTTTTACAAAAAAATATATTTTATTATATACTTTAGAATGACACTTGTTACTTGTGCGACTTAAATGCGTTATATTAAAATAATTTTTCTAACATATATAACATATAACTACTTTAACCACAAATATATTAATAATTGATTAATAATTTCATTTTTTTAATAATGTTATTCTAATAAATTATATAAAAATTTAATTATTATTATAATTATAAATATAATTTATTTATTTATTTTATACATACGATATGAATATCAAATCGAAGTTCATCAAGAGATGATTAATTTGATATAATATATATGTAAAATTGATAAAAAAAAATTAAAAAGTTATTAAATTTTAAAATACATTTACAATCTAATGATTATAATAGAAAATGATATTAAAATGTAATTAATACATCTAAAATGGCTATAATTAATCAACATATTTATAGTCGAACCTAATTATTTTAAGATTTGGAAGTAAATCAAAATCTGTCCAAGCCAAACAAATAAAACATAAAATTTTGTCACATAGGATTTCGAAAGCATGCGAGTCTGCCACTTAGACTCGACACATTCGATAAAATTATATATAAGAAATTATAATTATTATTATTATTATTATTTAAATTTTAAATAATTATTTAAAAAAAAAAAAGAAATGGAGTCAAGACTCAAGATTGACAATAAGAAAAATAATTGGGCCTTCCCACCTTGGAACCTCATTTTCTAAACCACACGAAAGAGATTGTGGCTGCTATTCCAGGTTCATAACTTGTATTATCCCTTCATTTGAAAAAAAAATAAAAATAAAAAATAAAAATATCGAGTAAGGCCACCGTCCCATTACCAAATCATTCCATTAAAATTTATAACAGTTAGACGTATATCTATGTTAGTTATCATGTGCACGGTTACAAATTTTAACGGAATCAATTAGACGCACATCTATGTTAGTTATTACGTGCACGGTTATTAATCTCAACAGAATGATTCCGTAACGGGATTTTAGTATTTTCCTAAAATATCATATAACTAAGAATTTCCATTTTCTTATTTTTTTCTCCCGTCGACCGTAATTTTGCTGACAAAAAGGAAAACAAAAATGGAGCTCAATCTGCTTCCCCACGCACTCAAGCCCAATCCTTTCCTCAGCCACTCTCTTTCCACCCTCGCCGGCGCTGCACAGCGAAATCTTACATCTTATTTGTTAATTTCAGGTTTTATACCGATTTTAGTGTTCTAAAGTTTCCTCTTTTCGTCTACAGTCTGATTTTGTTTTGTTCTTTTTCGATTCTACAGGAAAGAGATACTCCTGTAATAATGCATCAATCTTGGGATGCCGATGTTCTTCGCCGTCGCCGGCGAGCTCTGTTCGAAATTCCCCTTCGGAGAACGAGGGAAGAAGGGCACTTGTGGGTTATCTCTTCGCAGCAGGTTAGCACATTACATTGAAGATTTTCTTTATGGCTTTCTTTATGATTTCGATGGTAATCTGTTTTAGGTTTAATGACTGTATTTTGAGGCTTCTAATTACAAATTACATCCAATTAATCATTATATTTTAACTTTGGCGCTAAAAGATTTTTGCAAATTGAAGTACGTAGTCAACAAATTGGGCATCAAATTCATGGAAGATGTTACGGTCCGGTTACGGAACCATCTCGTCGGGTTTGTAACCTTTAGATCAACTGTCTCTGACGGTTACATGATGATCTAACGGCTACAAACTCTGACGGAATGGTTCCGTAACGGGACCTTCGCATTTACTCAAATTCAGATGTGATTTGATTTGCAAAAGCAAAATTTGTTTTGGCGTTATAGTTTTTCGACCCTACATCATTAGTTTACAAGTTTAGTGTTGTTTTAACGCTATTTCATCTAGCAGCTGCTGGGATTTCGTTCTGTGAAGCTGCTGGTGCTGTGAGCACAAGCAGAAGAGCCGTAAGTTTCTCCTTTGGTTTTCAGCCAACTTTGCTTCAGATTTTCAATCACAATAGTATTCCCACGAACGAATGTGAATATATTTTGTTGCATGAATTTTGAATTATCAGTGCTGACTTTAGTAACACTTGATTTTCGTCATCTGGTGCAGCTTAGAGGAGACAAAGTACCCGAAAGTGAATTTAAAGCCCTCCCGAATGGTCTAAAGTTAGTAATACTACCTAAAAATCTTTGCTTTACCAATGCCACGTCTTGAGTATATCATTCACTTTTCCGAGGCTGATATTTTTCTCTTATCGTTCTTTTCATTAAGTCTTTTGATCTTAAATTGATTATGTTGAACTTCGGTTTCACAATGTCACAACGAGATGTCTTTTCCTGCTTGTATGCTATTTGAGTTCGGATAAAAGATTTTAGGAAATTTTTATTTCATTTTTTTCTGGCATTATTACTTAATCATTTATGATGTCTTTGTTATAACATCTAGTTACTCAAATTTTGTAGGTACTATGATTTGAAAGTTGGCGGGGGACCTGAAGCTGTCAAGGGATCTCGGGTTGCAGTATGACAAGTGGCACAGTTGAAACTTTTAATATCTAAGTACATAGTTTTGTTAGTAACTGTTCTGCATAAAATGACTAACAGATAGAAATCTAAAAACAAATTTTCTTTCAATGGTTTATACTTCATGACCACTTGTGATAGTTTTATGCATAATAACGTTTATTGAAATCTTCTTAATCTTCTTTTGTTCCGGTGCATTTCGAACTGATTGCTGTTTTCCTCTCTTTAAATTTGTTAGGTTCATTACGTGGCCAAGTGGAAAGGCATCACCTTTATGACAAGTAGACAAGGTCTAGGAGTTGGTGGTGGAACGGTAAGACCGTAACACTGAGGGATTTTCGAGCTTATAGCTTATGACTTATAGCTGAAAAACTACCTTATATGATAAAAGTCTGGTAAAATTAGCTCAAATAAAAAATTCAACAAGCTTATTTGAAAAGCTACTCAAATAATATCTCGAGCTTTTTAAAAAAGCTCGTCCTATCAAATAAAGTTTATTTGAATTCAATAAGCTAACCATATAAATTACAAACTAGCTTATTTGATTACCAAACATAGCCTAAATCTATTACATGTCGGGTTTATATGTGACAAGCAAAAGCAAATGAATAATAGAATCCTTCATTCCCTTAAAATTTTGCGAATTTATCATCTAACAAAATTTTTCCTTTCGGCTCCCCCTTGTATATCTTGATTGCTGAGTATAAAGTATACCCTTTTAACTTATTGTAGTGAATGAAAACCAATAACCAGAATTCGAAAGCTTTGTCCTTTTTTCAATTTTGCGATCGTTTGGTGGTTTGATGCAGCCTTATGGATTCGATGTTGGTCAGTCCGAGAGAGGAACAGTTCTTAAAGGATTAGATTTGGGAGTTCAAGGCATGCGGGTCGGTGGCCAGGTCAAATGAATCTTCCGTGTGAATATGCATTTTTCTTCCTCGTTATTAATCCATTTTTAGCATCTAGAAATTTGAGCTGGTTAAATTGGGAATGTTATCCGGTGAGATAAAGTGTTGCTGCTACGGTTATAATGTGAATCGTCCGGTTGCCACTATTTAAAAAAAAAAAAAAAAAAAAAAGGGAATGTTTGGACTCTCAAATGATAGCCCCCTTTTTAATTTTTATTTTTATTTATTTATATTTTTTTTTTCAGAGGTTGCTAATAGTACCTCCTGAGCTTGCTTATGGGAATAAAGGTGTGCAGGAAATTCCTCCCAATGCAACAATTGAGGTACTATAGGAAATTAGCAGTATCTTTTAAGGTTCAAAAAGAGTTGTTTATTTTGTTCTTGAATCTTGAAAAGTGTCTGAATCAGTTGAAACTTATGTCCATTTTGCAGCTGGACGTTGAACTACTGTCGATTAAGCAAAGCCCATTCGGGTACGTAATTTCTGGTCCTTAAAGGTGTATTCGTATTTTTTTTTTCGTCATTTTTCATCGAAATTTGGTTCTCCTGCTATTATGTGTGTGTATAATCGATTTTTCTTTTTTGTTTTCCTTGACGGGATGCAGGTCTCCGGTTAAAGTGATCGAAGGATAATAATCGGCTTTTGTTTGGCCTAGTGATTCTCGGTGAACACATTACATGATTCATGCACATAGTTTCCTTTAGAACTATTGACAAAACTGGAAAAGTTGTCTCATTGTGAGGTGTATGCTATTCCATTTGAAAAATAAATAAATAAATAAATAAATAAAATGTTATTTGTATTTATTAATATGTGAGTGGATAAATATAAAATTTCATAGGTTGATTTTCAATTTAAAAATTGTATCGAAAAAATGAGAGCAGAAAATAGAATACAGTAAGTTTGATTAATTGAATAAAATAAAAAAATTGCCTTTAGCTTTTATTTATTTTTTCCCTTCTATTGTCAGTTTATGATTTTTAAGTGGCAATTTTGAAATTCAGTTGTGCCTCACCATGTTATTGCTAGAATTAAAACAAAAACAATGAATCTCAGGTCTCTAATAATAATAATAATAATAATAATAATAATAATAATAATAATAATAATAATAATAATAATAATAATAATAATAATAATAATAATAATAATAATAATAATAAAAGAGTTTATATGTACATATCATACCTTAAAAAAATCAAAAGAAATGAGAAAAGAAATCAGAGAAAATGGACAAATTGGGAAAAAAAATAAAAAATGGTGATATTTTTACAAAAAGAAACAACCAATTAACAAGGATATATGTAACAAGAGAGCAATATCCCTTTCATGCATCATTCTAAAGAAAGAATAAAAAGACGAGCCACTGCTCGAACTCAACCGGCCTGCATTCACAATATCATCCCTACTCGACGTTATGGAGACATTCACAGCCAACGAACCTAAAAGTGAAGAAAATAAACGAATCACATTTCAAACCGTAAAATCATAGTTTACGTCTAGTCGCTCACTGTAAAATTCTAATTATCCAGTTTACATAACTATGCTTTTTCAGCCGGATAAGAGAAGGTAAAACTTACAGTCGTAATCCGCCCATCCAAGTCTCTGACGAGCCAAATCATAGACAAAGATTTTGTCTTTGAGAACAAGATCTGAATCGAAATGCATCACAAACAGAGCAGCATGAGATTTTCTCACAATATGCAGTTGGATAATTATAATTTCATGTAATATGTAGTGTTAACGTTGACCGATGGCAATTTTTTTTATTCAATAATAATAAAAGAAAAAGAGTTATGCCGTGTATAATCTGCATGTTTGGTAAAAGTAGCTGATAAGCTAACTTCGAGCTTATATCTTTTATGACTTATAGCTGAAAAATTGACTTATATGACAGTGTTTGGTAAAATTAGCTAATAAGCTAGCTGAAATAAAAATTTCAACGAGTTTATTTGAAAAGCTACCCAAAGAAACTTATCAAATAAGCTCGAGCTTTTTAAAAAAAAACTCGTAATACCAAACGAAGATTATTGAATGCAGGAAGCCTATGAACTAACCAAATAAGCTATAAACTAGCTTATTTGGTTACCAAACATAGCACAATGAATCTCATTGCTCAAAATGCAGGAATGTAAAAGATTGGTTAACTTTATATATTATTTGCATAATCGGGATAGTATTTCGCAGGCGACCCTACCTCCGAAAATTGTCGTTCCTTGATTCTCGGCTTTAAGAAAGCCCATGCACCACATTGCAGCACCATCCTAGACAAAAGAATAACTAATAAAGTTATATTGAAATAACTTTTATAATAAAAGGATTATTCACTTTATAATGAAATAGTTTTCCATGCTTGCAAAGCATTAATCTCTCAATAATCAAATGTAATTTATCTTTTTGAAATAATATAGAGGATATTGTACACAATAATGTTGAGGAGTGTGAATAGTGAATACTCACGACAAATCCCGTGTGTATGAGGTAGTCAGTCGGGTTTAGAACTAAAGATGAACCCCCGGCAAAATTAAAAGAAACCGGTGGAAACATATTAGATACGCTGCAGAGAGCAAATACTCGAATCGTGAATCTTTAAAGAAATAAAAATATAATTCTACAGTCGACAAAAAAAATAAGTAAGTCAATTAAAAAAAAAACCTTGTCCGGACAAGATAGCACTGGTTTCCTCTAGAGATAACTGGTTTGACCAGTGGAGAAACAGCAGCTGTTATCTGCACATTTGATTTGAGAGTTTGGAGTTTTAGCACATAAATGACGTGTACCGTAATCAGGCTAAATCTCGAGGGTGGTTTTGTAGTTTTCACTTTTATTTGTTTTAGTCACAAACAATGCATCGTGAATATAAAAAGCTCAACAAGCCAAACGAGGTGAGGCATTAGTTGCGTTGAAAAAAATGTACTTACAGCATCAACAAAAGGATCATAAGCTCCTTCGACTAAGTATGCCAAAGTTGTTCCTGAATCAACAATGGTTCCTTGATTGCCTGAAGTCACGAATACAGCTTGATCGATAGGTAACAATTGCCCGTTCACAGCGATGCTCTCAAGATATAAATTGTAGTGTGACCTGAAATATAAAATATTTAAAAAAAAAAAATCAAAATCAAAATACAGTAAAAAATTATTGAACCATGTCTAAGTTTGCTTTAGTACACAACATTACAGGGGAAAACACCATTTTATAAAATGGAAAAAATTGTTGCAAAAACATTATTATGCAAATACAAAGAATGTGTATATGTTTGTAATCTCATATTATCCACGCATGACCTCATAAAGAAAAAAGCTTGGCTTGAAAATTTAACCAAATCACTTTCAACTTGAGGAAATTCAATTTTTTTTTTTTTCTGGATATTTTAAACTCGGACGAAAAAGTGCATTTGCTCGTGCAAATGAAAGCTACATATTTACACATTTTATAAAAAAAAAAAAGGTAAAAATATTTACGTACTGTGATGGAACTAAGGGAGTATAAACGATTCTTGGGTCCAATATTTCACCAAGAACTAATATCCCTCCACCATTGCCCTCCCCTTTCAAGCAATGGGAGAATACTTTGGGCGTAATCCCACGTGACGAAAGTTGGGAAATTACAGAAAGGTCCTTCTGGCCGAACCCAATTATCCCATCTACAGCTCTATCCGGTTTAGTCAAGTCCGCATACAGAGATGTGCTGCACCTATTTAGTATTTCCACATAACAAGCTAATCCATCAATCAACAACTTCAAATGAGAAATTATTGATAGAAACAATTAAGTAATGTCGAAGAATTTATTAACAGCTTACCCAAAGACAATAGGAGCCGAAGAATTTTCCACTGATGAAGTACCGAAAATCGTGTCGAAATAAAGAAGGTCCGACACATAATAACCGCTGGTCCCACTTCCATCTCCGTATTGAAACGAGTAGCCACACTTATCGATTTCGGCTGTGCATGCAGTTTGTGCTATATTGGCGCATGTATTATCCGAACATGAAATACGTGAAAATGTTGAAGATGTAGCAGAATCAAAGAAAGTGAGAGGAACCTGCAAGGAGTACAGCTCAGCATCAGTATAAAACTACAAACACCAAAGATCAAACTACTTTATGAAAGTACAGGACTTTTGTTAAACGAGATTAAGCGAGAGTTTTACATACTCCTAATCCACTGCTCTGTGGGCAATTCTCACAAGAACCACAAGTAACCCATAATATGTCACTCCCGGTGTCGATTTGCACGTTGAAGTCTCTTGGTGGAGATCCTAATCTCACTTTGGTAAAATAAAGTCTGTTCAAAATCGATGGCTTTTAGTTGGTTTAACTAGAGAATGAGAAAAGGTGAGCGAATAAGGTAACTATTACGATTTCGTGTAACACAGACTTAATGCAATTGGGGCAAAGTGATAACATGAAAATCGACCAAAAAGGCCTCAAATCTCCCAACCCCTTAGTATGACAATACGATAACTATAGCTCGCTAAAATCGAGCGAGACAGAGAACAGAGATAACTCCAAACAATGAATGTGACTACTGACTTGGTAACAAAGTTACAAACAGCACAAAGATTTGAAAATACACAAAGGGCCACCATATATCAAGGTCCCATTTCAAGTCCACTAATGAAATTGATTTCACAAACAAAACCCCACCAACAGATCCCAACAAACAAACAAATAAAAAAGGGATAATTCAATAAACAAATTGACAGAGATGGAAAATGGCAAAAAATGGTGAGCTAAAAACATCAAAATGAACAAGAACTACACACACACACACAGACACACACACACAAGCATAATTGAAAGATTGAATTTTCAGAGGCGGGGTGGATCTACCCAACGACGTAAGGGTCAGAGCTTCCAGTGACCGGAAAATCGACGATGCCGCCGGAAAAGCCCTGTAGCCTCCGCGCGTGCCTCGCACGGTCCCGAGCTTTAACCACCTCAAGCTCCACCTTCTCCTCCACGGGGAACACCCTCTCCAGGGAAAGCACTCTTTGGACCCCAGCGCCGCCGCTCTCCGCCGACACTAAAACGGCGGCTGCTACAGCAAACACCGCCGCCGCCGCCATAACCCGCCAAGCCATTGCTGGCACTCCAAAGCCCAACTGAAAATTTTCACATTAAAGTCAGACAAGTACAAAATCACACACATATACACGCAGGGAGCACACGCATTCGATGTGTGTGTGATTATAAAAGCACAGAGAGGCCATTAGAGGCAAAGATTTTGATTATAAAAAAAGGGTTGGTAGTTACTGGTTAAAATACAGCGGTTTCAGACGAGGGTAAAATAGTAATTAAAAACATTGATCTTACTTTTTTATTAACAAA